CAGACAATTGCTTTTTGAGGGATTCCAGACCCTGCATGTTAATGTGTGCACAAATGCATGCAAATCCTCTCTGGCGGAGCGCGGCAGCGGCATCGCCTGCCCCGGCCCCGGCCCTGGCACTCCTGCTCCCCGCTTTGTCTGCAGACAGAGCTGCTCCCTGATACAGCCCATTTATTTCCATCCCAGAAGAAACAAGTGAGAAGCAGAGATAAGCAGCGTGGGGGGTGATAAGGGCTGTTTGCTGAGCTCTTTCTTTGTCCAAGAGGAATTTTAACATCTCTACCATGATGATAGCATTTTAAACTCTGCTTTCGTTCTTGCTGTTGCCAGGAGGGGCCTGGGCTCTTATGCTGCCCTTTCTCAAAATATCTGCAGTGCCCAGCCTGGGCAGGTTTTCTTTGGTGATGTTGATGGTTTGGTGATGTTTGACCTGTGCTAGGTCCTGTGTGCCCACCCAGCTGAGCTGGCAGCCGTGTCTGGAAGAGAAGATCCCTGTGGCCAGGAAGAGAGTACCCCTGTGGCCAGGAGCTTTTCCTGCAGGCAGGGATCTGCTGCCCTCACAACCCCAGGGCAGTCTGGTGCTGCCTGCACTGCCCCAGTCCCTGGCACATGTAGGCTGTCTGCTGGGACAGACCAGCTTGGCCAGCTCCTTTGCTGGAGCTACAGACCATTTGCAAGGACCCACTTCACCTTGGCTTCTGACCCACCCAGCTCTCATCTTCCCTGGCTTTTTAGCTCTGCTTGTGCTTTCCTGTTTTGAAGCCATTGCTGGTTTTTCCCAGCAGGGAGACCTTATCTCTCTTCAGAAAGCTGGGGGCACGCCTGTGGCTCTCTCCAGAGCCTCTTGCACGGCACTAGTATTTTCAGCATGGTTTCACTGATTGTTGGGGCCGTTGCTCTGATGAAGGGGCTGTGGGAGGCTCCAGTGATGCAGAGGCTGTGCTCTGCTAACCGCGGCATACAACAAGAGACCATCGCATCCCAGAGACCTCGCGGGTCAATTGGGCTCATTTTGAGCTGCGTGTAGGTGGACTTGGGCTGCAAGCATGCTTCTGCATCTCCAGCAAGGAGGACTCAGGAGCCAGGTTCTCCGCTTGGTTTGTTGGGCTCTGTTTGCTTCAGATTCCCCTTGTGTGCCTGTTTTCACCCATAGAGAGAAGAGGGCTGGCACCGGCTAGTGGATCCAGTTTGCAGCGTCCCCCTGCACCAGCAGATGGGTGGGGGTGTAGGTGGGGACAGGGGTTAGAGCCTCCTCTGAGGAGAGGATCAGCTGTTGTGCCCAGAGCACCATGTCAAAGTGGCCATTGCAAAATAAAATACATCTCCCTTGTAACTGCATCACATGGAGCTCTGGCCTGGAGTAGAACAAATTTTTCAATCTGTTTTGGAGCCGTTGCTGCTCTCTACCATGTGAAGTCAATTCAAGGCAGGCTCCTTTCCAGCTAAATCTGACACCAGGAAATGTTCTTTTTCTCCCCATTTGCTTCCCGCCCTCCTGGCCCCGCTGCAGGGCAGCTCCGTGCGCGGCTCGGTGCCGAGCAGCCCTGCCGGGAGCTCCCCAGCCCGTGCCTCCTGCAGCAGCACGGATGCTGGCCGACTCCCTCTCTTCTTTCCTCTCCCTCCACAAGCTACAGCTGCTTAACAGCTCCTTCATTTCCCCTCCGTGCCTGAAGCTGGTCGTGCCGTCAGCTCTCCTTGCTTCATTGGGAAGCACAACATCCCAGGGTTTTTCCTTGCCAGCCCTCAGCTCCTGGAGTCGAGTGATGCTCCAGGATGTCTCCAGCTGCAACAGAACTGAAATCTCCCCGGCCCTGTGTCCTGCCAATGCTAGAGACCTCTCTTAATCACCAGGGCAGGTGCTTCCCTGCGATGAGCTTGCAGACCCTTCTCTGGGATGAGATCAAGACAGAAAGGCTCAGGAATGGGGTTTCCAGAGAGTGATTTCCGTTAGCTTCTTGTTGCTTAAAAAAACCTGAACTACCCACGCTCTTCTCAAGTTGCGTGGAGCTCCTTGGCTGCATGAGCAGAAGTCGTTTTGGAAGCTTTGGCAGCAGTTAGGTGAGGTTTGTGTCTGGGCAGAGCAAGAGCTGGTGGGTTTCCTTCTGCAGGACGTGCCACCCCACCTGGGCTGTGGCACCCTTTGCGTGGCGAGGTACACGGCACGATGCGCTGAGCATCTCCAGGCTCTGCCACGCTTCCCACCTTAATGACTGACGAGCTGGTGCTGGTGGGAGCAGCCAGGCAGACTGCTGGCCATGGATCTACTCCGTTCCAGCACCCACCAGCCCTCCCCCCCCAGCACTGGCACCCCAGGACGCTGTCGCCGAGGTCACTGTGCATGGCATGTGCATCGTCTCGCCTCGTGCCACTCCGCTTTGAGTGCACTGGGGGGATACTGCTTTTTCAATTCCATCTCACATTCAAAATGTACATTTTTATATTAAGTTTTTGCTATGGGGAATTATTTTTAATTATAGCGAGCTGGAAGATGATAAAATAAAGTTGAGTAAGTGAGACCTATGTGAAGAAGTCATGGAAACTATATCATAGGAGTGGAAAGATACTCCTAGGACACCCAATATTGTTCCCATGAAACAACATATCCTAATGCAAAGAAAATAATTATAATTAAAGCTGTTAAGCTTGTGCTTTTAATGAGAGGAAAGGAAGAGAACTGAGTATCTCAGGGGCAAGATTGTGAAGTCTGTACAGTTTGTCCAGGGAGGTGGCAGAAGCCCCATGCATGGAGAGGCTTGGTTTTTAATGATGCCCATTTTTACAGAGCCCATTGTCTGGGCCTGGGGATATCAGTGTTGAATAGACAGGCTACATGTGTCTTTTTCATCCTTGGCTTCTCTGGCCAGGAGTAACTGCCCGCCAGCAGTATCCACCTGCCTGGGGTGGGGCAGGAGGGTGGATGTAATTCAGCTTCCCAGCCCAGTCCTCACACTCCTGGCTGTACGTGGTGTGAGCTGCAGGATGGAAGGGGTGACCTGTGGGGTCTAATGGATCACGCATCTCACTTACTAACTCTTCGGCACCGTTATTTAAGGTCCTTGCAGTGGCCTGATTTATGTCATTTATTAAAAGCCAAGAACCTGTGATGCTCTCCTGCTGTCCTCCATCTCCTGGAGGGGATGTGTCTAGTGCAGCCAGGAAGACAGAACCACACAGGCTGGCTTTTTCCCTGTCACAGCGCTCCTGCCCCCAGCATTGCTGCCATCTGAGCACGGCGTGTTGGGTTTATCTCCCTTCTGACACTTGTGGCTGATACCCTGAAAAATAAAATTTGGCCAAAAAGTCCTCAGCTCTGTTAGAACAACTATTTCCAATGCTGAATCCAGGGCTCTGGAACTATTAATTATTCTGAACGTCTTGTTGCGTATTGAGCTCCTTCTAATCATATCGTGAAATGAGATGGAAACGGCAAAGAAACCAGCAGCTTTGCTGAGGCAGAGCACCTTTCCACAGTAGCTGATTAATTAAAATATTCACATGAAATGGTGCCTTGATTATTTTGTAAGGTAACAGCCGGAGGCAATGCCGAGACTTTCCGACTGGACGCAAACCAGACGCCGGGGGTGCGTGGGGGTTGCTGTGTGGTTTAGATCTGATGAAAGGCAGGAAATGGGAAAATCTGGCAGATCTCCCTGGCTTGACTTAACGGAGCCTCTTGACTTTTGCTAGAGTGCATTTTTTGTGCTGTAATGGCCAAGTGGAAATTCAGACTCGAATCTGGATCTGAGCACTGGTATGCTTCCCTGGCTTGTACACGAGGGTGGAAAAGAAAGGTGTTTGAAAATTAAAGCCCTGGGGTTTAACTGTTACTACCTTCTAGATTTCTTTGTTTTACCTTGGAGCAGAAAAACCTGCAATGGCAATGGCAACTTTTCCCTTGCCTTTTGTGTGTTACCTTGTTATTTCTGAGATGTCTCCCTTCTGCTACCCCAGTGAAACCCTATCTCGTTCCTCAGAAGTCAGCGGCATTACAGTAGCGCAAATTAATTCTGATCCTGTGTGGTTACTTTTAAAATAGATACCATTGACCCATATTGTGGAAGAGCATTACATTTGCAGAAAATGAAAACGATCTGTCAGCATTTATTACAAAACCTCTTTCTGTGGGGCTGGAGGATGTTTTCAGCCAGGCTAGTCCATTACTGTTAGTCCTGGTGAAGGGGTGCCATGTCCTAGCAGCCCTGCAGACAAATGCTCGGGTTTAAGCCCATGAAGAAGATCTCCCACAGACCATCAGCTGCAGGAGCAGGCCCTTAAAAGAAATGCTAAGAAGTGATACTTGCAGTGAATTAAGCTATTGGCTGTTAAATTGCAACCTGTGGGTTGTTCTTTCAGTTCTTGTGCTTTGCCCCCCGTCCAGCTCTTGGGCAGCATGTGAGCTGCTGAGCCACGGCACGTGCCGTCAAGCTGGGTGGTTAAGATGCCGTTGTAGTCTGACTGTCGTTGTTGTAGCCTCCCCTAATTTAGTTTAGCTTTTTATGTTCAGGGTATAATCAATTTTTATGCTACTTTAATAAGGAAATATGTGCTATCAGCATGCTAAAGGGACTTGTCATTCACAGCTTCCCAGTCAATCCACCATTTTCCATATTAGCCAAGTGCTCAGCTGTCCTAAATTCGATAAGTGCTCTGCAATTACTGGCTGGCACGCTGATCCACACCAGGAGGGCACGTGGCCCTTGCCTGGGCTGGCCCCTGGAAGTGCTCCTCGGCGCAGTAAAGGGACGAGCAATTACATCTCCCCAAACACTGGGCAGCGTGACTCAGCTTGATTGCCAAGTGTTGTTACAGCAAATATGGACTTCTGTTTCCTCCTTGTGAAAGACACAAACCCGGCGTTAGAAAATGCCTGAGCATAAGCAAGGGTTGAGTTTAGTAGCTGCAGGCCAACGACTGGCAGGAATTGCTTTGCTTGGTTACTTGAAGTGCAACTCACCAGGGCATCTCCTCTTTCTCCTCTCTCCTCACCTTGCAGGAAGATTTGCCTTCACTGTAAGTGCTCCCAGGAAGAGCACATCGTAACAGTTATGCCTCTGGAGATGGAGAAGACCGTCACGAAGCTCATGTTTGACTTCCAGAGAAACTCAACATCTGACGACGACTCGGGCTGTGCCTTGGAAGAGTACGCATGGGTCCCCCCTGGGCTGAAGCCTGAGCAGGTAACGGTGACACCACCCAGCTAACCAGGAATAAATTGCTTTAATGTCCTCTCTGGAAATAGTTGCTCTGATTTTTCCTCTAGAAGTGTGAGCACTCGTTGCACGCAGCTGTTTCTGGGTGCACTTTAGGGAGCTGCAGAGGTAGGTCTGGTCTGAGTGCACAAATGAAACAACACAGAGATGCGATCCTTGCAGGATTTGTGGTTCTCTGTGTCTGTAGATGTCATTGGTAATTGAGAGCAGGGAAACAAAATACTTTCAGGATGAGGTTTGTTGTGGTTGTGCAAGGGAACAGATACAGACATACCTACTACTGTTTCATGGGGGAAGGGGGATAGTGGTGGGACTCCAGCATTCTGTGAGGACTCTGTGCTCCTGTCCTGCCCTCCTGGACCACTGCACTCTGTGTTAAGTCGAGGGCAGACAGTCAAAGCTGGTTGATGACTCTGAAAATGGGCCAAAGCTTTTGGAGCTGGTTTTTCAAGCATGATGTTTGTGCCTTACTGGAAGGAATTGCTCAAATAAAGTTCAGGTCTCTGGGTACAGGAACAGAGCAGGATGGATTAGACCTGAACACGCATTGATTTCCCCTCCTTGAAGTTTACATGATTCGTTTGGGTTTTATGCGGATCTTTTTTGTGTTCAACTCAGAACTTAATTTGCAGAGGAGACTGAAAAATGAGCTTAGCTTTGGTAATTGCTACAGCAATCATTTTAAACTGTGTGAAGAGGCTGGGAGAGGGTGGAAAGCTTTCATTCTTACTGTTGTAGCTGCCGTCCTTAAGTACTGTGTTTTCCTGAGCTTTTATTCAGAAGGGCTTAGGCATTTCCTGGAATATTTTGGCACCACCCGTAGGCTGTAAATATTATCTGTCTGATTAGAGAAAATCCAGTTGTTTGCTATTTTCTTTTCTTTTCTTCTTCTCTGTACAAGTCTTGCTTGGTGCTTCCTTGAAACTCCACAGCACCATGTGTTTCCTTTGGTGCCATCCATCCAAGCTGATCAGGCAGCAGCCTTGTTTTCTGTCACCTTCCTTATGTCAGAAGGTCCCTTTGTGCCTCCCAGCAGGCAGAAGACACGGTGCATGGACAGATGCAGATGGTCCTGTAGTAGCTCTGCTGGTCCTTCATGCTGCAGGAACGTGAACCAGTTGGGTTTCAGGACTCCCACTGGAGGGCCATACCTAAGCTGATGCCACCTGCTCTCAGCACGACCTGCTGTCCAGGCGTGTCAGTGGCTTCTGGAGCCCAAGCTGGCCCATATCCCTGTAGCTTTGGGTGGAAATACAGGTATTTAGCGGCAGGTGGCACCTGACCAGGTAGACATGGTCTCTGATGAGTACAGCGTGGCACAGACAGCAATTGAAACCCACTTCTAGCATGGTGGTAACGTATTTCAGAAGACCTGGATGTTTCTGTGATCCCTCAGGTGCTTTGTAAGAAGCAGATTGCCATCAGGAAGTTTGGAATGCTCAGGAGAAAATAAAAGTCCATTAGCTCTAGCAGTAGGTACTGACATCTCATGCATTTTTTGGCTCTTCCAGCATCTGTTTGTTGCAGAGGCCACGGTACTTCTCAATATGAACACCCACTTCCTAATTAAGGTCCTCTGCCTGCACTGCTGGGCCTTTTAGCAGATTTTCCACTTCAGACCTGTCTCTAATCACCATGGAGATGAGGAGCAGCCATAAGCAGAGCCAAAGACAAGCACTGAAATCCTTCCAGCATAGCTCATCTGCCAGCCCCTTTGGGACCTTTCACACATCAGATGAGCCACTAAGGAGATAAAAGTGAGGTGTGACTCCTCTGAGCTGTGAAAGAGCCACAATGCAGGGCTGGGGGTTGTTCCTGGGTGAAGGGCAGCACCCTGAATTTCTCCAGGAGTTGGCCTGTGCTAGGGGCTTTGCAGGGCTGGGAGGTGCTCTGGAGTGCAGGAGGTGCTAATTGCCTCCCGCAGGGGTAGGAGGTACCTCTGCAGCAACTTGCTGGAGCCGTGCAAGACTCCAGAGAGACGTGTGGCTTTCTGGTGGATGAGTCAGGCGTGCACATGTGACGTGGAGCTCTAGAAAGCTGATGTCTGCCGTGGAGCCACTGGTGGGCTCTGCTCTGGCTGAGGACACGGCCATCAGGCTGGGCTGGAAAGTTGCATTGGTAGGCAGTGAATTTTTCTCTGCCTTCCGCTGTTTCATTGTCTTGTTTCTTTGACATGAAGCAGATGAAATGAAACAACTTTTTCTGCAATATTCTACTTTATTAAAATCTCTATGCAGCATGCGAGCTGGCGAGGGAAGTGGTCCCCTGAAAGACTAATGCAGTTTTCTTATTATACTTGGACGACAGCCTTCCTACCTCACTATTCCTGGGAGACAGTGCTCACATCGCACTCAGCGCAGCAATTTACAGGATTTCAGAGGGGGAGTTTGGCCAACAAACATGACATAGGGGTTTGGCAGTTTCCACAGGTCACTTCAGAGTTTGGAGAGTCCTTTCAATCCATAGCTTAAATTGTCAAGTGTAATCTAAAGGGGAATCGACTCAAACCTACAAGGTCTCACTGGATTCCTGGACACTAATTCAGGCATCAGCTTGTCTGTGGTACATGTCAACTATGTGAAAACCAAGTTGGTTACTTAATGCCTGCTACTGAAGAGAAAAAGAAACGTTGGTCCAAGTTCACAGATAATAATCCAGACATTGCCCTGAAGAGCAGAACTGAAAGTTATCCCTTAAATTATGGCTCATCAGTGTGCAGGACTACAAAATGCTTTACAAAACAGCGATAAATATTATATAATTCTAAATATGTTTATAACACAGGGATGAAAATAGTAATATAAAAGGATGTTAAAATACCACCATGGAATGTATGGTAAAAATCCATCTGGCAAACCCGCTAAAATTTTGTGACATCTCTGCCCAAGAAAGAGGGGTATGAACTGAGGACTGGAAATGCTATTTTGTTGAGGACCCTAGAAGAGCTTGATTTGTTCAGCCGAGCACATGGAAGGGTTATGGTCACTCCCTACACATTAACGAAGGAAGAACAGTTATCCAAGCTCCAACTTTGGCACACAAACATAGATATAAACTGGCTCCAAATGCATTCAGGCAGGAAATTGGAAGAGGTTTCAAACCATCGGAGGTGTAAGGCTCAGTGGCAACCTGCCAACAGGGAGAGTGATGGGTAAAATCCCAAGGCTGAGCTCCATAAATTACAACGTGATTATAAAATGTGGTTTCTTCTAATAGCAGTCCACTACACAGGATGGACAAGGGTGTCCTGTGGGCTCTAATCCCGCTTGGATTGGACCTCAATGAGAAATTGTTTTATGGCAGAAGAGGGACTTCTCCTGTGGAAGATTTGGATGCAGATGGGAATGGGAGAGGTGGCCATGCAGGAAGTGAGGCAGAAGCTCAGGATGCGGACTTTAAGAAATACCTTTCCTTGCCTGCTGTTCGATGGTTGGATACAGAAAGAAGTGTGAAAGTCCTGAAATGGGCAGGCACCAATAGAAAAGTGTCCTCAGCAGAGCAAAATCCCAGCCCAGGCCTGGCTGCAAAGACAGGGGAAGGCAGTTTTGGGAGCCGGTTTGTCTGCTGGGGCTGGCAGTCCGACAGCTGATCCTCCTTGAACTGACATAAGTTTGAGGGCAGATGCTTAGAAATAAGTACTTTTATGATGTGTTTTTCACATTTTTAGGCAAGGCATGTGTAGATACGTGTGAATGTGCAGCCTTGAATTCCTTGGGCCTGTGGTTTGGAGAAATCCAAAGATGTTATAACACGCCAGCTTGAATTTCTGAATAAAGGGGATTTTGGAGGATTTTTGTCTTTATTGTGTCTCAATAATAGGAGCAGCTGGTTATGGGCACAGATTTTCAATTAAACAAAAGATGGGGCTCTACTTCAGCTGCGGTGTGGCTTTCTATATGGTTCCAGCATGCCAACATTCAAGACCCGTGTATGCACCATAAGAACTTAATTCCCTCTTGCTGTCAGCACGGTTGCTCTGACTTGAGCCTCTTAAAAAGTTATGAAAATCTCATCTGAGCTAAAATTAGTAGCATGAAGGTTCAGGGGACCATTTTCCTCTAATGCAGCAGTTAGAGCTTGGACCTTGAGAGCTTTGAGGTGGCATGAAACTCATGGCTGTCACAGGGAATTTATTCAGGGGCTAACGTATGTGTGGGTTCCTGTTCTGGATCTTTTGTAGGACCTATAGCAAGGGCTTGAGTTACAAAACCTCCAAGCTTCATCAGTTGCTGTTGAGGTCACAAAGCGAGGAAGGGAGAGTGGAGATGAACCTACACCGAACATGCATTTACACCTTTATCTAAAGATACCCACTTTCACCACCTTGGTGTGGTAGAAAGTACATTATCTGGGCCAGCCATCTCTGGGGGATGTGTGCCTCAGTTGTGCCACTATGTCACGGTCAAGTGAATTTTACCTTCTCGTCCTTTCTTGAGACCTAGAAGTTCAGCAAACTGTTCCACTCCTCAAGAGACTAAAGTCTTGCATGTAGCAAGGAAGGAACAAGGCAGACTGAAGCAACCCAAGTCTGCATAATAATGGGGAGCAGATGAGCTAATTTATGGCCAAGTAGAGGAAAGACAAAAGCCCCATGAAGAGCTCTACCTTCCATTCATGGTGGGTGGAAAGCTGAGGGTGCTGAAGAGGAGCTGTGACTCCTGTATGCCTGTGCCAGCAGCTGCAGCCGCCTCCTGCTCGGTCCCTTTCCATGCATGCACGTGCTGTAGTATTTTACCCAAAAGCTGCGTTTCAGCACATTTTTAAAAGCTCTCCAATTTCACTTTGAGGTAGCAGTAAGTCCATCACCTCCCCAGTGAACTCTGGTATCTAAATAGCCTGGCAGTTAGCGGCTCTTATTTCAAGGCTGGAGCTGTCTAAATCCAGCCTCCAGGCATCGGACCGTGCCGAATGCTTCCCAGCTGGATGGAGCAGCAATCCCGCACACGAAATGCTTTTTCCATGTGCCA